GGACTCCATATATAAAACGTATTAGCTTCGGTAGTTTCCAAGGTATTCACCAAAAACTTTTACATAATGCTGTACACTGAAAACAGCGTATATAGACATCGCTAACACATTGATAGACGCCCATCCAGTGTTATTAATTGTACATGTATATATCTTCGCTATGGTAATTTATTCCGCCTATCGCGTCACCTCAGTGGTCTGTTATCTCAAGTCCAGCAGTCGATAACGTAGGAACGGCACCGGCTTTAAAATCTATGGCGTATCATTTTCAAATTTGCTAGTACATATACATATAACTGCAACTGGCCTGGGTTAGCTTATTATTTTTCGAGCGAGCGAAGCGATCGATTCACTCTAACCATTTTCACGTTCAACAATATTAAATACCTCTGAAATTCCTGAGACCTGATACTTTATTTTGTATAAACAAGATACCTTTTTTAGAAGTTCACAAAAGTTGGAGGCCTCTGCTAATCTACGCGCCGCCATAGACGTTGGATATACATACGCGTAGAATTCATTGTATGTACATGCGGTGTACACCATTCATATTCATGTTGAGATATACGTTATGACGAACTGATGATTGGTCCTAATCTAATATAATTCAAGGAATATTACACATAAATAGTTATAATTGCATCTTATAGAAAACTTAGTTTGAAATACTTGTCTTTATACAATTTTTACAAATGATACAAAATGTACGGGAAGGATAATGATATCATCACTTCGCAGGCATAGAAGAATATCTGTACATTTTGTGAAACAGATGGTCTTTTATCAAGATGTCCGTTCAGAGAATTATGTGATACAATTCTCTTTGAATTAGTTAATAGAAGTACAGCACTATCCATTAAACAAATTTATCTCTTTGTAACTTGGGACAATACCGTCTGTAATAATTGTTAATTTTTCTATAATTACAACTTCTTTATTGTATTACAAATGAAATTATTTTTTCACCATACACTTATGGTGATCCTATATTTCAGATCATCTAATAATAATTAGATCTGTATTTAGTAACTTAACAAAACCTTGAATCTTGTAAATACTGCCAACATTGTTAATACTTATAAGTATTAACAGCAGTCTGCATATATATAACGAACATAAACAGAGGGGTAGTCGTGTAAACATTTTTGTTGAGTACATATATCGACTTGGATAAAATTATTTTGGAATGAAATCGATATTTTTTTACGTTGTGTATATTACATGTGTATAAGATTTCGTTTTAGTCTTCCACATCTAAAATAATCAATATATATATATAGAAAGTTTTTAAAGAATGTTTTAAAACTTAATTGTTTAAGTGAAAAA